TTTGCCAAGGATTATCTCTGTTAACTTGTTTGTAAGTCTGCATACATGTTGCTTTGCCAGTATATCTTTGCTATTATCTGTTGATTTATTCATCTATATATTTTGTGGCTCCTGAGAACTCTGAAGGGCAAAATTACACAACCATGGGTGGATAATAATGTGACAGGGATTTCTGATGTTGTTCTTTGTTTTGTTTTGTTTTTCTTTGAGACGGAGTCTCTCTTTGTCACCAGGCTGGAATGCAGTGGTGCAATCTCGGCTCACTGCAACTTCCACCTCCCAAGTCAAGAGATGCTCCTGCCTCAGCCTCCCAAGCTGCTGGGACTACAGTCATGTGCCACCACACCCAGCTACTTTTTGTGTTTCTAGTAGAGACGGGGTTTCACCATGTTAGCCAGGATGGTCTTGATCTCCTGATCTCGTTAGCCACCTTCCTTGGCCTCCCAAAGTGCTGGGATTACAGGCATGAGTCACCGCACCTGGCTGTATGACAGTTTTTACAGTCTATTACATTTTATGTTAAGGCATTAGCAAAAAAAAAAAAAAAAAAAAAAAGGCATCAAAAAATGTCAAAGCAAATAAAACTAGTTTGAAAATAAGATCAGCTCTGAAACTGTAGACACTGCCCATATCTCCCAAAACATTTTTAAAACAGTAGATATTTAAATACGCTGTATCTCCCCTGCAACTAGCATTGTGTCTGAAACCCACTGGGTACACAATAAATGCTGAATGAGCAAATGAATGAGTCACAACTCTATGACATAGAGATGCTAGATATCCACATTTTACAAATAAGAAAATTGAGACACAATGCAGTGAAGTAGCTTGTCCTTGTTCAATAGCTAATAAATGGGACTGGGTTTAAAGTTGGGTAGCCTGACTATAAGCTCACTTAATTAACCTCACATCATACTACACATACTATAACATTATACTAGTGACATTTTTTGGAGATTATTTATATTTAGGTAGTGTGTCATTTTCCCATCAAATACATTGGTTGAATATTTAATAATTGTTTTTTAGTATGGAAAGAAATCAGATACACAAATATTAGTGTAATTTCCTTGCTGTCAAGAATCACTTACTGGGATAATTTCACAAGTGACAGCGTCAAGCTCTCAGAGGACACTTTGCACATGTGGAAGACAAGCACAGGAGTCCTCATGTTCCAAGGACCTCAGTAGCCCCTTTTCCACACTCCCACCCTGCATGCCACTACTTAATGCTGCTGTCATTATAAAAGTAAAATACCTTTCCGGATCAAATCCAAAATTGTCTTTTACAATTACCCTTTGTTTCACTTTGGTTTGCTTTCAGTCATGATGATTAACATATTATAAAGTTTCAAATACTTAAAAGGAAGTAGATTTTTATATTTACCACAGGAGGGCATCTGGTTTAAAAGGTTAAAAAATGACAGTTTTGTCACGTTTTCTCCAGGTTGTGATACTCTCTGTGAGTGACAGTCATCATAACCTTCCTGTGCCTGTTTTGTGCTCTGGAGTGCACAAGCACGAGAGCTCAGAGACATGATGTTTCTGAGGCCTACTGCACCCAGGGAAGGCTGAACTAACACTGGGCACATGGGGGCTGTGACAAGTCTGGGTATCATCCCATGCTGTTTCTGTTTGTGCTGTACTGTACCATTTCCACTGTACTGTACTGTTTCCACTGTACCACCAGTGGAATCTTTCTGATGCTATGGCCACTAGAGTGGCCAGATTCTCGCTCCCTGGTGTGGATGAAGAAACCGTGGTTCTGGGGTATTCAAGAAGCCGTGTCAGGCTGGGCGTGGTGGCTCATGCCTGTAATCCCAGCACCTCGGGAGGCTGAGGCGGGCGGATCACCTGAGGTCAGGAGTTCGAGACCAGCCTCGCCAACATTGTGAAACCCATCTCTACTAAAAATACAAAAATTAGCTGAGTGTGGTGGCACGTGCCTATAGTTCCAGCTACTCTGGAGACTGAGGCAGGACAATCGCTTGAACAGGGAGGCAGAGGTTGCAGTAAGCCAAGATTGAGCCATTGCGCTCCAGCCTGGGCAACAGAGCAAGACTCTGTCTCAAACAAAACAAAAGAAAACAAACAAACAAAAAGATATGCCATCTGATTCCACATGGAATCTGTGCCACTTCACAATCTTTTGTGCTGCATTTTGGCCAGTGAACTTTCCTTTATTCTCCTCTAAAGAATGTTAAGTTCACACCATACACACATACAGATGGTAGTTATGTGTGGGGCTGGAGACATTGATTCATTTGATTGTGGTAATCATTTCACAATGTATATGTATATCAAATCATCACATTGTATACCTTGAATATGTAAAATTTTACTTGTCATTTATACCTCAATAAAGCTGGGGAAAAAGATGTTGAAAATACCCTTTCTCTGGTTTCCCATATTTGCACTTCTTCCTCCCTGGAGAGTAAGGCCTATGAGGGGAGGGACCAAGTATGTTTTTCTCATCATTGCATCTCCAGCGACTCCAGCAGTACCTGTTACATGGCAGATGCTTGCTAAAGATGTGTTGATTGAATGAATGTCTGAACTACCAAATAAATGGCTATCCCTTTGGGCCCAGATATCACAATATGAAAACTTTGTTTCTCATCTGGTATCCGTATATGACTTTATTTTTTAAAAGTTCACACACATGTAGAAAGACTTCACCTCTGCAGTAACTAATCCATAAGCAACTATAGAATTCTAAAGAACCAAGCTCCATTCAGAAATGGCAAATTGAAATGCCATCTGAGGGGAAATCAGATACTTGCTGACCATGGGATTTGAGAGAAACTGCCCACAGTTTCCCAAAGCACAACTTCGATTGTATCACTATTTTAAAACCCAGTGGTTTTCAGATGCTCTTGCCCAACTCCTACTGATTAGAGGGTGAACGCTGCGTACGCTGACCATGCTGCAAATGAGAAGCATGAAGACGAGAAGTGCCAAGGCAGGGGGCTTCACGGCAGCCCCGATCTTTTGGTCTGTTCCCGCCCAATTCTACCATATTCTAGTTCGTAATATGGAGCAGGATTGGGGCACATCTGTACTAAATGTCAGGCTGGGAGCTTCCCAGAAGGAATTACACAAAGAAATTACATCTCTTGAAGTGTCTAATCCACCTGTGCTCATTTCTCATGACTGTTGTAACAAATTAACATAATCTTAGTGGTTTAAAACAACATGAATTTATTATTTTATAGTTCTGGAGGTCGGAAGTCCTACAGTCAAAGTGTCAGCAGGGTTTTCTTTCTGCTGGAGTCTTTAGGGGAGGATCCATTTCCTTGCCTTTTCCAGCTTCTAGAGGCCACCCAAATTCCTTGGCCCATGGCTCTCTCCTTCCATCTTCACATCTCTCTCTCACCACTGCTTCCATCATCACATCTCATCTCTGACTCTGACACTCCTGTCTCCCTATTATAAGGACCCTTGTGATTATATTGGGCCCATTCACATAATTCAGAGTCACCTCCCCAGCTCAAAATCCTTAATCACACCTGCAAAGTCTCTTTTGTCAACTAGAGTAACATATTCACATATCCCAGGGATTAGAATGTGAACATTGCAGAGGGTGAGAGCGTCATTCTGTCTACCACCCCACCCATCTGCTTTCTTCCTATCAGCCTCAAAAAGTGCCCTGCAGATCCTCCACTCTCCAAGGCACCTGGTGACAGAGTACACTCACTGGTTGCTGGAGGTGTCCTCCTTCTGAGCTTTCCTGGTGCTCCCAGCTGGATGCAACTACTTGTTTGTCCATACTCCTTTGTGCAACCTGGATTGTTCAGGGCATCCCTTTCTGCTGTTGGACACTATATTTGTATGTGCATATGTTACTTTCCTGATAAGCTGAGCCAAGAACCAACTTTGTGCCCTCCTAGGGCCTAGAATGATGTGAGGCAGACTGCTGTGCTCAATTATTGCTGTTAGTGCTTAGCAGGACACACAAGACATGTCTCCCTGAGCCTGATGCCATACAGATGTTCCTCTTAGAGTCCAAAGACAGCACTCCTCACTGCCACCCCAGAGCACTTCTGCTAGTGAGTGACATCTTCCATTCCTGTGAGCTGGGAGGACTCCACAACTGCTGCCCATTTAGAATACTTCATCCCCAGGGACTGCTGGTACCCTGGGAAAGGAGCCGGCATTTATGTCTGCAGCTTCCCACCTTCTGCAAGCAAGCTTGTTATTGTTTTGCTGTTTGCTGTGGCAGTGGCTGCTGTTCTGCAGTGCCAGCTGAGAAGCTTATCTCCAAGCAGCCTTGGCTATTTCCACTATAATTCTTTTCCCCTCAGGATGCCATCCTCTACATGTGTCGGTATGACTCACTTGGTACTTGTACTTGGTAAAAGCCAGAGTTTAATGAAAAGACACCGGTTGAGAACTTTGCAATCTCATTTGCAGCCACATCCTGGGTAGGACTTGCCTTAACTCAGGTCGAATCTTTCCTCCCCAGGAGTCAAGAAATGCAGAAGTACAACTATCTAACTGCCAAGTACTAGGCAAGACTTGGGGCTGGGGTTGAAGTGCATTAAAGGGCAGGCATGTGAAAGAATAAAAATGAGAAATCAAAGTTTCTGCTCTTACAGATTTCAAAATCATTTGGGAAGAAATAGAAGTTACTAAGTAATTGCAAAATTTTGTAAAATCTTCTAGCAGCAAAATGTAGAGCTGGGGGAAAAATGTGGATCCTTATCTTATAGTCTACATCTGGATAAGTCCAAAATATTATAAGTAAAGTCTTAAAATTACCAGAAAAAAAACCCTGAGAGAATTTTTCTTATATCATTTCAGAATGGTAAAGGTCTTTCTAAGTATAATACCGGACGCAGAAACCATATGAATGAAAGAATAGGTAAATTTAATGACAAAAAAAATTCCCATGGCAAAATGTACAATATGAAAAGTCAAAAAACAAATGCCAATCTGAGAAAAATATTTGTAAATCATATTACAGAAAAAAGATAATTTCCCAAATGTATGAAGAATATGATATGGTTTGGATTTGTGTCCCACCAGCAATCTCATGTCAAATTGTAATCCCCAATGTTGGAGGAGGGGTCTGGCCGGAGGTGACTGAATCATGGGGGCAGATTTCTTCCTTGCTATTCTCGCGATAGTGAGATCTCATGAGCTCTTGTTGCTTAAAAGCATGTAGCACCTCTTCCTTATCTCTCTTCCTCCTGCTCTGCCCATGTGTAGATGTGCCTGCTTCCCCTTCACATTCTTCCATGATTGTAAGTTTCCTGAGGCCTCCCCAGCCATGCTTCCTGTACAGCCTGGAACTGTGAGCCAATAAAACCTCTTTTCTCTATAAATGACACAGTCTCAGGCATTTCTCTGTAGCAGTGTGATAAAGGAGTAATACAGAATACATACAAATCAATAAGAAAAACACTAACCCTCTACTAGAAAAAATGGGCAAAGCATATAAGCTGACAGTGCACAGAAAAGGAAATGCAGATGGCCCTTAAACATACGCCAAGATGTTCAGCCTTACATATAATAAGGGAAATGGAACTAAAACCACACAGAGACATAATTTTTAAATTACGTTAAATGGGTTAAAATTTAAAAGTTTGAAAATACTTACGTTTTGAGGAATCAGCAGCCCACCCATCTAGTACTGGCAGAAGTACATACTGGTACAACACCTATGGGAGGCAAGTTTTTAAGATCTTCCAAAATTACAAACATGCATATCCTGGACTCAGCAATTTGGTAGAAATTTATCCTATGGATGGTCTCTAACCTGTGGGAAATGACATATACAGAACTCTATTTACTATAGCACTGTTTATATTATCAAAAGACTGGAAGTCATCATTGACAGAGGAGTGATAAAAATAGAAGAGTGATAAATTATGATATTCACACAAAATGGAATTCTATGCATTGCTCAAAAAGCAATAGGGATACTCCTTACAATGATTATGGAAGTATTTCAAAGATATGCTAAGTGACAAGCAAGATGACAGTTTGTTCAGTGTGCTGCCATTAGTATACAAAAGAAAGGAGGAGTAAACTGCTAGCTATTTTCAAGAATAAGCTCAATATATTTCTACCGGTTCTTTTTGCTCATGCTGTTCTCTTCATGTAGATTGTGCTTTCTCCATCTCTGCCTGTTGAAAAATATAGTTCTTCCAGGACAATTTCAAGTATTTCTTCCTTTATGAACCTTTATTGATCTCCTGAGTTAAGCACTCTCTCAATTGAACAAATCTAAAATTATTAGGAGAATAGTTTTAAGGTTCGGGATGAGAGATCCTTTCTGAGACAGACAACCCCCATTAACTCATAAAGAAAGAAGCTTGGTCTAACCTTATAAGAAATGTAATCATTTGTATGGTCACAGACATAATAAATAGACATAAATACAAAATCTGACACACTAAGAGGTAATATCTGCAACATATATTGATGACAAAAGCTTATTATCCAGATTATATAAAGAGCTTCTAAAAGCCAGTAAAGATAAAAACAATAGTCCAATAGGAAAAAAGACACATCCTAAAGAGTTAAACCAATAAAGAAAGAAAAGCAGTTTAAAAGGTGCTTAGTTTTAAACGGTAAATATTTATCTCACTTTGATGAGTAAAAAATAAGAAGGCTTACCTTATGATGTGAGGAAAGAGGCAATGGTGCGGCAGGAGTACAAATTGTTAAATTCTTTTCAGAGGGTAATTTGGCAGGAGTCATCAAATGTTAAAATTAGGTATCACCTTCAACCCATCTGTTTGGCTTCTAGATCTAGGCATCTGTGCTCAGAGAAACATATATGAATATAGAAGCACTTACAAGCATGGTCATTGCACACTATTTATAATAGAAAAAAACCAAACACCTCCTAAAGGACCACCAAGAGGAGAAAGAGTAAATGAACTATGGTAGATTCAGTCTATGAGCTACTGTGTAGCAATTTTTTAAAATAGATTTTTAAACATTTGAAAAGAGCTCCAAAGGGAAAATGCCATTTGCACAACACAGTATATAAAATAGTATTCTATTTATATGGGGAAGATACATGTATACAGTCAGCCCTCCATATCCACCAGTTCTGCATCTGTGGATTCAACAAACCATGGATTGTAATTATTCAGAAAAATATATATATAAAAAAGAATGGTTGAATCTGTTCTGACCACGTGCAGACTTTTTTCTTGTCATTATTTCCTAAACAATACAGTATAACAACTATTTACATAGCATTTATACTGTTTTAGGTATTATAAGTAATCGAGATTATTTAAAGTATATAGGAGGATGTGCATAGGTTATAAGCATCATTTTATATAAGGAACTTAAGCGTCCCTGAATTTTGGTATTCACAGGGGAGTCCTAGAATCGTTCCCCTACATATATGTGTACATTCTACACACACACACACACACACACACACACACACGCAAAACAGTTTAGCCTCTAGGAAGGGGAATAGAACTAGGGGTAGCAAAGAAGGAACTTTTATTTTCTGCTTTATACATTAATAGGATGTGTTTTGTTTTTCTTGTCGTTGAAGGATAGTGATGGGAAGGACCCAGTTCACACAGTTAGGAAAAGGGACTTGATCTCAGTCAATTGGCCTTCCAGTGTGATATTTTTTCCCACCGTTCCACCAAAAGAAAATAAGAGGCACTTTCAGAGTCAAGGATGATTGAATAGAAAGAAGTGTAAGATATTTTCCTCTGGCTATGAAGCTCACTATGGAATTTTCAGAAACATCCCTCTTCTAACTAACCTAATAGCCACTGTTAATTGTTAGGCCCATTTATTTTATGGGCATAGAGAATGGCTGCAGCCATCAATGGTATAGATTATCCTTTTTAAATGTTCTCTAATACTTCATACCTTGTAAGTCTTTTCCCTAATTTTCCTTTTGTTTATTTCCCCAGGCTCTCTGTAATTTTTCTATAGCTAGCTTAACATTTAGAAAGAAAGGACTGATGAATGCTGAGTAAACAGACTATTTCTTGACCCTTAAATGACATACCGTCTTCAGTTACACTCTAGAGAATCACTTTAACTCTAACAAACAACACAACAACACTGGAGGCTCATTCATTTACTCTGACTCTTTTATTCTTCCCACCAAACAACACTTGGGCTATGCTTTGTTTCCTTTATTTGCTTTAATTCCTATAGCATCAGGGAAGATATCATATAGGGGAGGTCACAGACTTTGAAATATGACATAGCAGAGTTCTTTTCACAAGTTTTCAACTTACTATCTTTGTGATTTGGAGGAATTGTCTAACTTTTCTCCATGTCAGTTTTTCACCTGTCAAACAGCAATAATAATAACTAATGACAAAAAAGAAATCACAATGACATTAGAAAATATTATGAAATGAATGATAATAAAGATACAACACATCAAAATGTGTACAGGGCAGCTAAAGCAGGAGTTAGAAATATTTAGCCTTAAATGTATTTGTCAGAAAGAAGGAAAACTGACAATCAATTACTTAAGCTTCTCAAGCAGCTAAAATAGGAATTAAGATAAAACCCAAAGAAATTAGGAGTAAAAACAGCATAGATAGAAACAGCTTCAATGAAAACATATATACATGTACATAAAATAGAAAACTATCAATAATGTCAAATGTAGGTTTTTGTAAAGATTAACAAAATTGATAAACCCCTAGCTAGACTGATCAAGAAAAACACAAAGAAAATACAAATTATCAAGATCAGAAACCAGAAAGAGACATCAATACAGACTTCAAGCCATCAAAAATATAAATAATACCAATTTCTTAGAAAGTTTGTGGGAATTCACTGAAGTACTTTAAGCACCTAGCACACTACCATGGCTCATAGAAGCCATTCATTTAGTCATTGAATATGCTTTGACTGAGCATATGCCCTATGCTGAGCCACAGGAATACTAAGGTATGTGGGTGGCTGGGTAGGTGTGAAGAGGGTGTGTTGGGGGGTGGGGATAGACATGTTCTTTGCTCCTGTAGAGCATACAGTTCCACGGTGAAGGCTGAGACAAATTTTTTAAATTGCAGCTATAAATGCAAAATTACAATGTTGAAAAATATCAGTGGGGCATGGAACTAAAAGTGCATTTAAAAAGGTTAACTTAGTGAGGAAGGTCAGAGTGGGCTTCCCTAAGAAAGTGATAGCTGAGATGTTATCTATGAAATGAGAAGATACTAATGAGGTGAAGTTAACTAGTCAGTGTTTGCTATGGTTTAAATGTGTCCTCCAAGGTTCATGCGTTGGAAACTTAATTCCCATTGCCACAGTCCTGGGAGGTGGGGCCTGATAAGAGGTGACTGGGTCATGAGAGATCTGCCTCATGAATGGATTAATGTTGTTATCTCTGGAGTGGGTTAGCTATCCAGAGAGTGGCTTTGTTATAAAAGTGAGTTCAGCCTTCTCTGCTCTCTGCTCTCTCACTCCCGCCCTCTCTTGCCCTTCTGCCTTCTGCCATGGGAGGTTACAGCAAGAAGTCCCTCACCAGATTCAGTCCCTCCACCTTGGACTTCCCAGCCTCCAAAATAAATGTGTTTTCTTTACAAATTACCCAGTCTGCTGTACTCTGTTACAGCAACAGAAAATGGACAAAAGCAGGCCTCTCGTCAGGGGGAAAAGCAAGGGAAAGGCCGTGTTGGAGGGAAGGATGGTCTGGCACAAAGTCATTGTGGCTGGTGCTGGAAAGTAAGGGCAAGTGAAGGGGCCAGATGAAGCTGCTGAGATAAATGGGGACCAGACTTGTAGGTGACACTGAGAAGTTTGGTTTTTATCCTAAAATGAGAAGCCATTTGTGTTTTAAGTAGAAATGGGGCAACATAACCAGATCAGAAAAGATCATTTTCCATATGGTGTGAAGCATGGATTGGGTGAGTCATTGTGGCTATATAGATGCCAGTAAGGTGACTATTGAGGTTGCACAGGGATAAAACAATAGCTTGACCTACGGTTTACAATATAAATTAAACTTGAAATAGCTCAAATGTTCACCAACAATGGACTGGTTGAGTAAATTATACTAAATAAACATAATGGGTTACTATGCAACTATAAATAAAAATGAGGAATATTAACATATATTATTGTAGAGTTATAGTCAGGAACAGTGTTTGATGAAAAAAGCGAAGTGGAGAAAATTGTATGTATATGCTGCTACTTCACTTTTAAAGTGAAAGGCTAAATCAAGGTTACAAAGTGTTACTCACAGGAAGAGACAGGGAGAAAGGTGGAGGGGACAGGGATACAGGCTAAAGTTCTCCAAATACAAATTGTTTTGTAGATTTCACCTTGGAACCATGTAAATATTTTACATTATTATAAAGCAATGTTAAATTATAAAAATCAATTCATAAAAACTGAAAACAAAATGAAACAATTGAACGTAACTATGCATTGAGTTACTGGCATAATCACATATAACAGAATTAATTACACTTTAAAACTGTATACCTTAGGCTGGGCACAGTGGCACACACCTGTAATCCCAGCACTTTGGGAGGCTGAGGCAGGTGGGTCACCTGAGGTCAGGAGTTTGAGACCAGCCTGGCCAACATGGCGAAATCCCGTCTCTACTAAAAGTACAAAAATTAGCCGGGCATGGTGGCAGGTGCCTGTAATCCCAGCTACTGAGGAGGCTGAGGCAGGAGAATCGCTTGAACCCTGGAGGCAGAGGTTGCAGTGAGCCGAGATCGCACCACTGCACTCCAGCCTGGGCGACAAGAGTGAGAATCCGTCTCAAAAAAAAAAAAAAAAAAAAACCAACCAACCAACCAACCAAACAAACTAGATACCTTAAAATGATTTTAGTAATCACATTGTTGGCAAAAGTGTTGCATTTGTATCTAAAACTACCATGAGGGTAATTTGTACATATTGTGGAACAAGAAAAATGAGAAGCTACCTGCTGTTCTAATTCTGTCGCCCTTGGAGTCTTTGAAAACTGGAATTCTAGGCATAGGACAAAGGAAATACAGATGCAAGATAAAACATTAAACAAAATCCCTGTAGTCCTGATACTGAGTTAGAGGTATAAGTATGAATTCATATTTGAAAAACAATTTATTTCATACTTCTGTCCACTGAAAATGTCTAGACACAATGATCAAAATAGTAGTAACACCTGGTATACAGGGATCTCCAAATACCATTACCCACTTAAGGAACTTGGATTCCATAGAGAAACTGCTAATTCCAGGTTCTGAGGCCAGATATGTGCAAGGTAAGGTGGGGATACCTTACCATACTACTGGCCAAAGATGAAAAAATGAAAGCATCAATATGAATAATGTAAGTTATATTTGTAATGATACAAAAAGTTAGTCACCCTTTTGAGAATGATTTGGAATAAATTCATTATTTTGAAAGTTAGTAAATAAAGAGAAAAAGTCATGCGTTCATCCTTCTTTTCCTGTACATACTGTACCTCAGGGTGATCAACTGACAGGATAACACGTCTCCTAACAGAACTCTTCTAGCTGTCAAATAAATAATAACAAAATTAGAATATTATCATTTTTTTCAATCCATAGTGAAATAATGGATCTAGGTAATGATCATTAAGAGTTGCTAAAATCACAGAATGAGGGTTAACCATTCTTTAGCTGCCTTCTGATGGAAAACCACAATATTACCTATGAAGTATACTTGTAAAAAATATCAAATCTGCATCTGATAAAGCCTTTAAGTCTATCAGAAAATTCAGAAGATAGAAGAACATGTTAAATAACACAACAGGGGATGCAATTAGCAAAATTTATGCTTTGTGAAACTCTGCTGAACAATGTTGCCACTATTCAACAGAAAATTACAAGGAAAAAAATAGTAGGATTACATAGATCAAAGGAGTTTAAGACTGATCAATCAGTTGAAATATATAGATATTATTTCAATCTTGATTTAAAGAAGCAGATTATAAAAATCTATGGATTGGGGATAATGCGTATGTGGGGGTTACTTATATTATTCTCTCTAATCTCTCTGTTTGAAATTTTCCATAGTAAAATGTTAAACAATAACACCCAAAAACAACTAACCCCTATTTAGTGCTCATTATATACAAGGCACTGTTTTAAGTAATTTACATATTTAAACTGTCCTCCTGTCCATAAGGTTGGTACTCTATTATACAAATGAGAAAACCAAGGTATAGAGTGGTTAAGCACCTTGCTTAAGGCCACACAGTTAATAAATTATGGTATTAGGGTTCAAAACCAGGCAGTCTGACTCTGGAACCCATTTTCTAATTGGTACACTAGTACCTATCACAATGATGCTAGCTTGGACTAGGTTGGTGATAATGGAGAAAAGTGGATGGATTGAAGAGGTACTGAAGGTGAAATTGACCAGACTCCATGCTGGATTGCACAGGAAGCTAAGGGTCAGGGGACGGTCCAAAATATTTGTGAGGTTTTGGCTTGCATCATGGGATACATGGTGTTATGGTTCATTGAAATAACAAGAGTGAGAGTGTCCCAGGTTTGGAGGGAAAAGATGATTTGGGTTTGGAGCATGTCAAGATTCACATGCCTTTGGTATATCCAGGTGATGTCAGTTGAGCAGCTGGCAATATTGGGGCTCTTATATGTTAGTTTTCCCCCTTTCTCCTCCTTAGAACTGTATACATTTTCTTGGGATGAAGAGGAGAAGGGGCTACTTTTCCAGTATTGAAGTATAATAATGTAATATTCTATTCTTGTTTCAGAGGTGTTGTAGCAATATCACTTGCACATTTTGTAAGACTGCTTTTACTCCATTGTCTTAGTAACTGGGAGAAAACAGGTCAATTAATCAACCATCCCTTGACTGCTTACTATGTCCAGCCACTGTATTAGGTGCTTACACATTCTATCATTTCCTTCTTTCTTACAGTTACTTAAACAATTATAAAGATGTTATTCTTCTCACTAAATAAGGAGATGGAAGATCAAAAAGAAAGTCACTTGCCAAAGTTACAGAGCTGTAAAGGAGCAGTCTGCATCCCTAGTCTGTGTTCTCCCATTATGCCTCTATTTTCCAAAGTGTGGGTGATGACTTAGGTGGTCATGGTTATGGTGTTTAATTGCACAGACACACACAGTAAGAAAGCGCTCTGTTATAATTTTCATCCAACCTTCTGTTATAACGTGGAGAGCAACTCAGTCAGGTGTTAGTATCTCTTTAACACCTCTCTAACACTTGGCCAATCTCTGTTTTCAACCAAGAAAGGAGAGCCTTGGACTCAGAGTCTTGAGCAAATAATAACAGTATGTAGCAGGAATCTGATCACATCTTATCTTCATTGTGTATATTTTTAGGGATACTTTCTATTAATAAGTGATATTAGTGTTTCCATTTATACAGCAACATAGAATTGCATTTAAAAATAAATTTAAGTAAAATAAATTAACTGAGTAAAAGAAAACTATTACATACATAAAAGTAACAGTGGTTCAAAAAAAGGAAAAACAAACAAACTAGATGAGGCTGGAATCCAATGGATGACCTTTGGAAAACAGTGCTCTTCACCATATTTCCTGCCCCTCACCCCGATGATGGGCTTTGGTGCCGGCCTTATTTCTCGAACAGCAATTGAATATCTTAACCAAAATATGATCTGGAAACACTTCATCTAGTTACTGGTGAATGCAACTCTCTATAAGCCTGTCACAGACCTCAAATACTGCGGGCCAGACGGTATTTTTATTCTGCATTGATCAGATTGACATGTTGGATGGGACCCCCCAGCCCTTGGTTGCCCAGCATGTTTCCCATGCCAGGGTGTCAGGAAAGATGTAAGAGCAAAGAGTACATAACCAATACGTCATGGCAGCTAACACCTAAGTCACTGGGTTATTTTGGAAATCTTAAGAATATCTAGGTGACTATCTATCTATCTATCTATCTATCTATCTATCTATCTATCTATCTATCTTTTAGTAACAGGCATTCTAGTATTAAAGCTATGTTGACTAATTTCCATCTATCCCTCTTCCTTAAAGCTCGAATTCCCCAGACTTCTATGATGATACCATGTTTGCACATTTTGCTCTTTCCTCACCGTCCTCCCCTTTTCTGGGACAGAAGCTATATTCAGTATGTTTGTGAGAAATGGTTGTAAATAGGCTGCCTTAAAAAAACAAAACAAAACAAAAAAACACATTTTTATGAGTTCTTATAAACATAAACAAAGGCAATAAAAATTCCCAATGCTACATATATTTTAAAAGACATCATTGTCACTTGAGATAATTTTGCTTGTGTGTTCCCCAAGGAACTGAAAAGTACATTATAGTCACGGTAACCCTGCTGGGTAGAGACAGTATCTTCTTTTTATTCTTTGTTATTACTGATACTATCTGTTCAGCATATTAAGGAAAGAAATCAGTATCTAATATAATACATCTACATTTCTCTCATTTCCCATGAGCACCATGAGCCAGTACTTTTTCACCCTTGGCCCTGCCAGAGTAGAATCCAAGGCCTGAACAATAGTAGGCTTAAGTTTTGCATTTTTGATGTATTCTTTAAGTGAAGGTAGTAAATACTGACATTGGTAAATATCAGTAAATTGTCTTCTTAAAACCACAAGGTCAAAGAAAAGACAGGTTCCACCTTCCTAGGCGGGGTACCCACAGCCCCGCATGTGCCCACTGTGGCTATCCCAGTTCCTGAGAACCTGGCTACATCATAGACGGCACACAAACCAGAGGCCTGACTAGTGCAACTCGGATAACAGAAAGACCCCACTATGAAAATGGAAACTCATTCCAGTCCCATGCACAGACAGGGTGAGGGTGAGGAGTGGGCAGTGGGTGTGTACGTGGTGGGTGGTGTAGGTTGAGAGCGTCTTCCCCCTTCGAGGCTGCAGCAGGAGCTCAGCGGGCTCCCAAGCCCCTTGGCTCGCGGCCCTGCCCCGACCATTGTCCGCACACCTCTTCCCTCCAGCTTCCGGGCCGCCGGCGAGATGATTTGCTGCAGATGACATCAGCCTCGGGCCAACGGCTGGAAGAGCGGAGGCAGCCACCGCGTGAGGATGTGCCGGGTGGTCCTTTCCTCCTCCTCTTCCTCCTCCTCCCCGGCTCCCTGCCTAGTCTCCATATAAAAGCAGCGCCGCCTCCCCGCCCTCTCTCACTCCCCGCTCCTCTCCGCCGCGCACTCTCCGCGGCGCTAGGAGAGGGCGGAGGGGGAGGCGGCGCGCGGCGCCAGAGGAGGGGGGACGCAGGGGGCGGAGCGGAGACAGCACCTTCGGAGATAATCCTTTCTCCTGCCGCAGAGGAGAGGAGCGGCCGGAGCGAGACACTTCGCCCAGGCACAGCAGCCGGCAGGATGGCGACCGTGGTGGTGGAAGCCACCGAGCCGGAGCCGTCCGGCAGCATCGCCAACCCGGCGGCGTCCACCTCGCCCAGCCTGTCGCACCGCTTCCTTGACAGCAAGTTCTACTTGCTGGTGGTCGTCGGCGAGATCGTGACCGAGGAGCACCTGCGGCGCGCCATCGGCAACATAGAGCTCGGTAAGTGGCCCCGCGCCCCCAGGGACGCGGGCTGGGAGACGCGCAAACACGACCCCACCCAGGGCGCGACGGCCACCGCGCACCTCCCGCGCGCCCCGCACCCATGCCTCTCCCCGCCACCTCTCATACTTGGTCCAGACTCTTTTCTGGGCTAATTAAGAATAATCCGAATTATTAGATATGAGACCCAGAGGGAGAGTCTCCAGTAACCTTGAGGGATCTGTCACCACGCTGGGTCCGCAGCCTCTGCTGAGTTGGCCACCGCCTCTCCCGCTAAGTGAAATGCAGGTGTCAGGGGAGCAGAGGCCACAATAAAGCCGCAACCGCAGGAGGCAGAAGGGTGGGGGAGACCTGATGCAACCACTCCTTTCAGTCCCCTTCTGGCCTCAGGAAAAGGCTGGGACCCCCCCACTGCAGACCTGGGGCCGAAGCCCCATGCGCCAGGGCCCGCGTGAGATTCAGCCTCACCACAGCTAACTCAGCCCCTGAGAAACGCCTTTTCTGATTTCAAACATCCCGATCCTTTCTTTCCTCAGAATGACTAGGCTAGTCCTAGGGCCACGCCCGCTCCCCCCCCCCCCCCCCCCGCCCAGATGCTGGGATGCAGAACCGCCTGCGCTTCGCCACCAGACAGAGCCCGCCTCGCTACCGCCCCTGGGGCCTTGGCTGCAGCTCTCAGAAAGGACAATGGGACCCCAAGTTGTGGGGTGGGGCTGCTGCTTTTAGAAGTCCTAGCCCCGGGAGTGGTAGCTTGAAGGGGGTCGGTGGGGGAGACGTCAGCGGGTAGGGTCAGCTCCTTGCCTGGTGCGCGCACCAGTGGCGCGCTCTGCGGAGGCCGAATAGCGGTACGCCGGGTACCCTGGGCGGGGCCGTGAGGGTCCGGCGGGCACAGCCTCGGGCGCACAGAGAGACCCGCCCCCAGCCCCACCCGAGCTGCCGCAGTGCCCCCGGACTGCCCGCCGCACCCGCCCCCTACACTGCGGCGCCCCGGTCGGGCACGGCTGGCTGGGCGTGCGCTCCGCCCGGGCCTCGGGCTGGCGGGGGCCGCGCGCCCCCACCTCTCAGTTTGCCTGGCTTTGTTGCGCCGGGAGTCCCTGGGTGGGCAGCTCTGGTCTCTGCCTTTCCCTTTATCCCCCGCGTCCCAGCCCTCCCCTCGCCCCTGACAGAGGTCGCCGGGTCTCTCCGCAGCCCCAGCCCGCGCTCTATTCTCCTGGGGTGGTGCTGAAGCGTTTCTCCGGGAGACACCGGTTGGTGGGCGTGGTGCAGTCCGCACTGCGGTCTCTACGGCAGCCCGAGGCGGACAAAGGGCGTTCACACAGCCCTCGTTCCCCGCTCCCCCTCCCCAATAAAAGACGAAAGAAAAACCTTGTTTTAGATGAAAAAATAAATGCTTGTCATCTGCCTCTGCAGTTGGAAACGGCCACTTGTCCCCAGAACAAAAGGCTGCAGGGTGGGGACTGGAGTTGCGGACCTGGTTCTTTTGTTTAACTTTAAAGCACTTGATTTTTCCCTTTCAGCTTAAAAAAAAAAAAAAGAAAGAAAAAAAAAAAGAAAAAAGAAAAAGAAAAAAAATGTGAGCAGAAAGTCATGGTATTTTATTCCTAAAAAGTCAAGAACAAGAGATATTTCAATAGTGAAATGTCTTATTTGAGCATCTCAATAACCCTTTATTTTCAGACTGTAGGCCTTTGGTCTAGTCTATTCTAATTTAGTTTATTTGCACAATTTTTTCCTTGAAAAATTTTACACTTACTGATTTTGGGTGTGGCTATTGTGGGAATCAATGACTGGATTTTTTGCTTTAAAAAATTATTTGTAAGTGGCACTTATGGGAAATAGGAATATATTAGGAGGTGCTTTTCTATCTACAAAATCTTCATAACCATTCGATGTGGTGGTGCTAGGAGAAGGATCATGAACCCCGTTTTAGAGCTGGGGGCCCATAAGAGGCGAGAAGGGTAAGAGAACCGGCTCAAGGTCACAGCACTCATAAGTGACAGAAGTACCAGTGCTGCAGCGTCACTGTTTTCTGACCCTGTCATGATGTTAGTGCAGGGTCGGCTAACATCCTATGATGGGAGGAAGGTTTTAGCACAACAGTTTTCAGGGCTTGCCTTTGTATGGCCATCCACTTGTGGGCAGCGCCCCATGCTGGGAGACGGTTCCGCAATCACCTTCGGACTGTAATTATCTTCCTGCTTTGTTACTCAGCTGATCATCCTTTCAGTGCCCTATTCCTCAGAGGGTTTATTCAAGCTGCATCTGTTTACGGAGAAAACAGACGCATCCATGTACTGCCATGAAGTAGGACTCCCTGCCTTTACCCGTTTTTACACTACTAGCACTTAGTAACAAAATTCAGATTTGTCTTTTTGACATTAATGTTTTTAAAAATTCGATTGAAGTGTTATATAGAGAGGAAAGGGCGCAAATCAAAGATGAGCAGCTCAACGAATTTTCACAAAACGGACACGCCTGGGTTACCCAGATCAAGAAACAGACATTACTGGAACCCCAGAAGCCCCCTTGTGTTCCCTTTGCAGTAATCATCATGGCTTCCTGATTTTTAATTCCCTAATTTGGTCAGGTTTTTGCATGGAACTCCGAAATGACTGTATTGATCCCATTAAGAATCAACCAAGTGAGTGAGCAGAGCCATTTCTTTACACACCGTAGCAGTGTAAAGAGATGGCTCTCCTGCGTCCTGGGGTCTTGGCTGCAGCTCAAGATGCAGGCCCTTGCAGTGCTAAGTGAAAATCCTGCTCCCATAGCTTTTCAGACAGTCTGAGATGACTTAGCAACAGAGCAGGCTGGTCCTGTTTTCCTGTACACGACAAGCTGCTGCTTCAGCCGCCAGGTCTCAGCTGGGCCTCCTCCAGAGGCCACTGCTGTTTTTGCTTGGTGCCTTTGGGCGGTGTTGTGTGAAGCAAGATGGAGCTACTCCAGGGGAGCCAGCTCTGATGATTGTGTGTTGCAGGCTGGGAAAGCAGTTCTTCATCTGTTACTCTTTCTTCCTATTTCCCCTCCTGCCTTAACTGAGACTCTGGGTTTGGAGACCCTGGTGACTTGGATTCTTGCCATCTGATTACTGAGGGCTCTCTGGAAAGCCTAGAAAATAATCTATAAATCTGTAAAGACATGGTGGTAATGCAGTAAATCAACAGGCCTGGAACGTCCCAGTGTGGATGCTTCGTAAATGCTTCTTGAATCCAGGGAAGAGAGATGGTCCCTCTTGTTTTCTCAACTATATTCGGAAAGCATAATGAAGGCTTTGGACTTGTCTCCTCCAGAGTTTGGAACAATAGTGTTTCCTCCGACTAGGCTAGCTTCATTTATTTAGTTATGCAGGACTTTATTCCAAATCGTTTTCGCTACCACCAACTACTACTCTTTGGCACCTCCTTTTTCTCCTCCCTAATTAGCCCCCAGCATGGATTTAGCTAGTGGTTCTCATTTTCAGCAAAGTCCTGATTCTTGGTTTTATTTTAATACATAGAGTACATACATCCATGCCTTGCAAACTGAATTGTAGAACCTTGTGAAAGTTTTCATTGTTTCATTTTATTTTATTTTTAAGAAACTAAACCATATAAGGAATACTACGTGTCTGTTTAATGTTTTCAATTACCGTTAGATTGTAACTTTTCCTTTAGTTAACATTGGGAATCAGCAAGATTTGTTCCAGAAAAGATAGATGAATGTAACATCTACTGCTCTGCATTTTTAGATAAAAGTTTAGCTGATTACATTGTAACATTCTGATGTCACTTAGTTGAATGTGTTCAGTCTAAGATGGTAAGAGAATTTAAAACCCAGGAAAGATTTGGGTTTTAGTTTTCCTTTTCTTTTAGCAGGGGAAATAAGAAACCAATACCATATGTGGTGAGAATTAAATGTTAGAGAGTCTTAAATTTACTATATTTGCCTTTATACTTTTCAAATTCAAAGACAGATGGATTTCTGCTTGTACTGCTTAATTGGTGTTATCTACGACAGGCTCTGTGATCCCTTCTGAAAAACAAGCCAGTCCCCAAATTTAAGGTCATTAAATTGTTCACCTTTTCTAAGGGCTTACTTTAAAAAATAAGTTCTAACTTTTTAGACAAGCAAATAATTATAAGTCACTTCTCATTTGCTTCTATCGTAAGATGTTATCTTGGACCTAAATTATTTATTATCAATGCTTTGAAACTATGAGCTCTGTATGTAAGATATATCTTCATTACATACATATGTTATGAACATCAAGTTGCTGGCTTTAAAAAAAGAAAAAAGAGCAAATTAAAGACGAGTTCAAGGGAAAAAAATAAGAATTTTTTCCTCTGAGAAATAAAGCATTCCTAAATGTAGCATTTCCTTTATTTATGTAGTTTATGATTTCAGTCTGATTTCAGACCACTTTTAGCATAGTTTTGCAAATGTAATCTTATGATTGTAGGTTAATCATTTAGGTACTTAGAAAAAATATCCAAAAGCCTGTTTTTCAGAGGGAGCAACTAAAGCCCATGAAGGAAAATCAATTTGCCAAGGGCCCAAATAACTGTCAGATAGAACCCACGTGCCATCAACATGCAATGCATAGTCATTTCATTTTGCTTTCCTCAATCTACTGTCACCTTTAGAAATATGAATTTTAGCCTTTAAATGGGAAATGCTTTTTAAAATTGTTGGTTTCAT